TCACAAATCCTTGTCTCCTTTGAGCTGGTGGTCTAACACAGACCTGTTGTTAGTTTGTCCGTTAGCTGTTAGCTAGCTGGCAAAACCTAATTTAGCGCAAGCTAATTGGTWGGCTAACGKTTTTYAAAGTTMGTGCAAAAGCTGATCTGCTAAACAAAAAAAGTTGTTCCGTTATTAGCTTTCAGCTGATTAGCGCAACTTCGCCCACCACTGTTCACTTCAATAACCGAAGTATACGGCAGACTGTTGTAAAATAATTCTAACGGAGAGTTTCTGAAACGTCTTGAAACATTCGTACGGTGATTTCTTTGAAGTGGAATTAAAGGCCCTGTCCTGTCACACTGATGTTTAGGCAACTTATGGAAATTTAAACGACAAAGATGGAATTGAACAAATCAACTGGAAGCCTCTTTTAGTCGTGTACAAACTGTTATACTAACAAACTGACCAAATATATCACTTATTAGTAATTTAGACATAAAAGTGTTTCATAAGTTGTCTAAAATGTGACAGAGCTCAGTCAGATCCACCCAGGATGGAAAGAGGTCGTCCCGTAATTCTTGAACTTGGCATATTACCGTAAATTAAGTAAAAAATACTTTGTTTTAATAAAATATTCATAGTAATGTTGAGCCGGAGACAGGAAGCAGAGGTCTGACTTACAGCTGTGAGGRAAAAGTGATGTGAAAAGGCAACGAAAAGGCTGGTGTGCAAATAACTTGGAGAATCATAAAAATGTGCGTCAACAAAAAAGATGACTCGATTCGAACCCACAATTCAAAAACAACAATACCACAAACATAATCCTACAAACATCACAACAAACAAAAAACTAAAACATTTTCTAAACAAAGCAGACTGTAGTTGAAACTATTTAGTCTTTTTTAATAAAAACATTCATGAATCCTGCGTGTTGTGTTGTGAGGCGTGTTGTGTTGTGAGGCGTGTTGTGTTGTGAGGCGTGTTGTGTTGTGAGGCGTGTTGTGTTGTGAGGCGTGTTGTGTTGTGAGGCGTGTTGT